TACTCTTTAATTTATTTGAATCCTTTGAAAAATAATTGATTAAACATGGTAAAAAGCCTTTTTTCCATAAATGTATTAAAGCAGACTAGGCCATTCTCCAGATGAGTCTTTTCTACCTAAATTTTTTTCTAGGAATGCAAGTTACAAAACAACTCTCCCATATCCCCTTTAACGTCTAAATGTGTTGTACAATAAACAGTTTTTCAATCAAAAGAGTTCAGAGAAACAATCATATAGAATTTCACCGTAACATCACAATCTTTCCTGATTTGTCTCTTGATAATACTGAGACAGGAACAAACACATAATGAAGTTGTTAATGAACTATTAACAGGAAACCAGAGCATACACATGTGTATCCCTGGATTGAGTCTTAATAAAATTAGGAAGTTAAGTCCCAGCTGGGGACTGGATAAAGAGCAGAAAATTCCTAACAGCCAGGGTACAGCATCATTTTATCAGAAATAAAGATCAACAATGCATAGTAATTCTCTCAAGTTGTCATTCTATTAGTGGTGTGTGGGTTTTAAAATGATTAAACAGTCGTTAAACTCAGTTTCAAAGCCATCTCATCTATTAATCTTTGCATTTAATTTAGAAGAAAACCACAGATTTTATGGATCAGATTTACTGCATATTAACATTTGGCTTCCAAGTGGCTGTATCACCTAAACAGAGAACAGCTGGATCTTTTACACCAATATTGAGATGGTCTTGTGAACTATATTTTAGATTGGTAGCATATCTTTGAAGAGATGTTTTCTTTCTTTCCTCAGACTATGACCTACTTTCTCCCTAGATTACTGCCATTTAGTGATTCATTCGTTCAGTCACTCAGTCTTGTACTCAACAAATAATTGAGTTCTGTTCTAGGTAATCAGGATACAGCAGTGAATGAACAAATTCCTGCCCTCACTGAACTTACATTCCAGTAATGGAGATAGACCATAACAAATAAACAAGCAAAAGTATTAGGTAATGATAAATGCCATAAAAAAGAGGCAGGATAAGAGGCTAAACAGTGACGGGTGGAGTAAGGAAACAAGGCTATTTTAGAAAGGATGAGCAGGAAGGCCCTCACTGAGGAAGGATCTGCCCAGAGGATAAAAGGATGGAGGCAGTTAGGAAGATAACCAAATAGAGAGTATTTCAGGCAGATGGAATAGCAAGTGCAATGGCCCTGAAGACTAGTGGGTTTTGACAAGGAAGCCTCTGTTGCTGGAGCAGAGTAAGCAAGGAAGAAAGTGGGAAGAGGAAATGTCACACACGAAGAGAGGGCAGTTTGTGTTGTGCCCCATAGGGCATTTTAGACTTTGGCTTTTGTTCTCAGTGAGATGAAAAGCCATCAAACGGTTCTGACCTGGGAGTATATGAAATTAGTTATGTCTTAGAGACAACTCCAGTTGCTGAGTAGACAATAAACTGGATGGGTATGAAAAGGAAGTAGCTCTCTAGCAATTTTCTAGCCAACACATTTTCGCAAGTTTCTAACAAAGAGATGATGACAGCTTGCACATGATGATGGGAAGTGCCCTATTCTGAATATATTTTGAAGGTAGGACTCATGTGATTTTCTAAAGGATTAGATGTGGAAAGAGAGGGTAATCAAAAATGACACCAAGATTCTGATAAATCGCGGTGCCACGTATTGAAAGGAGGCACACTGAGGGAGGTGCAGGCTTGCTGTGGGAATAAAGAATTCAGTTTTGGACATGATAACTTTGAGTTGCTCATTAAACTTTCAAGTAGAGATACAGAGTAGCCAGCTGGATACATAAGCCTGGAACGTAGGGGATAGTACAGTACTAGAGATAAAATTTGAGAGTTAATGGTATGTACATGGATACACTAGATAAAGCAAATGATGTTCATTGGTTTTAATCTTTCTGTCCTTTATTCTCAATTACAAAAGCTTATTATCTCACAGGATAACCTGTCAGAACTAACTCAATCTTCTTTCTTTTAACTTACTCTATTTTAAATAGTCAGTTTCAGCAATGTTAACACTACATTGCTAATCGCTAAGCTTCTAAAAGCCACACAGTCTTTTATTTATAAGACTCGTTTTTACAAAGCTCTTTTCTAGAACTTTTCCTTGCCTGGATGGTGGCATTACTGCATTGAAATATGAAACCTTCTTACTTTTAGACACCTCATTCTCTTTCTTTTCTATTCAAGTTTGAAGACCAATTAAAAAACTTTTGTGCTCATGTGACAACTAGAGGGCAATAAATGAAAATTTTCCCAAAGAGAAAGTTGTTCAAAGACTCATAATTTCAGGGCTCAAAAGATATCTTAAAAAAAATCCTCCAAATTTATCAAATTGTACACATTAAATACATACAGTTATTTGCATATCAATTATACCTCATTAAGGTATCAAAAATAATTTAAAAAAATCTTCCTCCATTCCTCTGTCACAAAATTGTTGCACTGATTTTCTGTAACTACTGGTTTCAATTGATCTTTTTGGTAGATTCCTCATTAATCCTTTTGTACTATAGTTAAATGTTGACAGCAAAGTTGCATACCATTTTCCTTGGTTCTGAAGCTGGTCTCTAGCATATACACGTGACACACATTTAGAAGACACAGAATAGCTAAAAGAAATACAGATATACATACTTAATCATAACAGTTTCAGAGTTTAGTGTAGTAGCTAAGAACATTAAATCTGGAGTTCATATTGTCTGAGTTTGAGTCTCAGGACCATCATTTACTGGTTGTGTCAACCTAGAGAATGTACTAAACATCTTTATGCCTCAGTTTCCTCATCTTTTAAAATGGGGATAGCAATAGGGTTTACTTCACAGGATTGTAGTGAGAATTAAATGAATATGTGTAAAGCACCTACTATGTGTCTGGTGCACAGTAAGCCTATGTGTGAATTAGGCGATAGAAGATTTTGATCAGAAGGGTAGGCAGGGGTTGAATAAAATGAAGCTCCATCTGTCCATTTACTTGTTAAGATTTACCCTTTGCCACCTACTAGGGTTACAAGTCCCAATTCGGTATCACTCCTTTGTGACAAGCTCCCAAAACAGGAATTATTTTCTCTTGAAAACCCATTGATATTCAAATAAAGTACTCAAGAAGTCTGTGGAAAGGAAGCAGGTATGTGTTGGTCTTTCACATTTGCACAGTATGCCTCATTCTTAGCTTGAGTATTTTGCAAAGTATAGAGAGACTAGGACTGGTACATTTTAGTGATGTGTAAAGAATGAAGGTGCGAATACATAGATGCACAAATGAATGAAATAAAAAAAAATCCTAGAAGAAGAAAGATAAGCATAATGAAAAGACATTGAAAGGGAGGGACATGGGAAAGTAGGGATTGCTAAGCCACCAAAGACCTCATTCCCACAGTTGGCAACTGTGTTTCCTACTTTTTTTTTTTAACTAAGAGGGACAATTTTCTGTAAATGTTTAACAGAAATCCCTCAAGTTCCACTGTTGATACAAAAGAGGCCCCTCCTTTGGAGAAAATGAAGCAGAGTGTCTCAGGATATAACACCCGCAGATAATTATAAGTCCCAAATGTTACATAACAATGACCAGATCCCTTCTCTTGTTTATCAGTTCCATATGCCAGAGTGGACTCCAGAATCTCAGCGACCCAGAAGATAGAATAAAGGATTGTAAGGAAGCAAGTGTAGAAAAGCAGTTATCATTTCCATTTCTTCCTAAAGTTTGGAAAATCTAAATTAGAGGAAAGGCATAAAAATATATTTCCTTCCCTCAAGAAGCTCATAGTCCAGTCCAGGGATGTAGAGAGGTGAAGAGACAATTATGATACAATCTACTAAATATTATGATGGAGGGAAACCTTTTTTCCATATGGGTCTATGGAAACCCAGGCTATGGATGTCAGCAAGGGGATGATGTCTGAGTAGTTTTAAATGAGAAATAGGAAATAAATGATACATAGGAGATCTCATTATCTTCTCCTTGGATTATTGAAAGTATTCCCTATCTTTCTTCTGACCCATCCTCTCTGGTCCCACAAGAAAAATATGAGGGAGGACTTGAGTTGTCTAGGAAGGGAGGACTTGAGATGAGTCTAGCAAACAGTTTTTATTTAGGACAAGGTAGTTTGACTGTGTGTAAATTTGAGCTATCCGCCTTTTCTTTCATTTACTGTATCAGTGTTATTGGCCTTCTCCATTACCATGAGTCTTTTAGAAAGAAACACTGCTTGACAATTCTCGTTGGCTATTTCATTCAAATATTTAATGACACACACAGGCTCTAATTCCAAGCTACATAGATGCTACTTACTATGAACACCTTAGAAAAAAATTCAATAGCTGTGAACACTCTTTTTCGCAAGGTTTGGTGGGATTTGTTGTGACCAATGTATGCCGTATTTAACTTCTTAACTATCATCTATGATATTTAATGAGGCAAATTCCCATGATATCAACCTTCTTTTTTTTTTTTGCATTTCCATACATGGTAAGTTAGTATCTCTCCCTTCTCCTCCTCACTCCTTATTCTAGAAGAGTCCCAAAAGAAAAAGTTCATCTCTAAAGTCATAAGTAATATCTTCTGTGTGAGTCTCCCTCTGCCATGGTACCCTTACTATGTCCCTCGTTTTAAAGAACATGATCTTCCGAATCATCTCTCTCTTTCATATACCTGTCACATTTCTATGGACCAGTAGAGTCTTAGCCCTCACAAACATACACATACTCATGACACCTCACCAGACAAATAACCACCAAAACAGAGAAAGATTTAGTGATGTGTATTGTAAAGAGCACTAGACTGTGAGTTAGGGGATCTGAGTTTTGGCCCTAATCCTATCACTGTTAAATTGGCTACAAATTTCACTTCCTCAGGACCTCAATTTATTCAACAGTAAAATAAGCTTGATGACCTACAAAGTCATATCCAGTTCTAATAATCCTCAAAAAATACTTTAAAATAAAATTTGCTTTATTACAAATACATTTATTTTATACAAGTTTATTATAAATTTTAAGGAAATTAAAACTTACCTTTCCAAATGTGTGAGATCCAGCCACTCCTTGTGAATTGTCTCTATAAGACCTATGTAGAAAGAGTAATATGGGTTAAAAGCAAATGAACTTATAGGGAAAAAATATTAAATGTGGTAACCTCTTGATGATATCTGTGGAAAGAAAATTATTCAAATAAATACCATTTGCTTTCACAAAATGCTTAAAGTAACAGAACTTGTGTGGACTGGCATAGTTCACATTATTTTTCCTCCTTCCAAGAATTAGTAATATTAATATGAATCATCACCAATGAAATTTATTACCAACACAGTAAAGAAACATATTGAGATATTACTCAGATTATCATCATGTTTTGAAATGAGAGAAAAATTACTAAAGATTATAATTTATTTACAACAGTATTTTTAAAAAAAATCACTTAACCAATAATTTAAATGCAAATCATGCCAGTACACTCCAACATTATATAAAGACAATATGATTCCAAATGTAATACTACAGAGGAATCCTTAGGGTTCCTAGGTCTTGCTGCTATAGTCAAACCATCATAGACAGATCAGACTTTCTCCTATTTATAAACTTCTTTAGAGAGAAAATTCCACAACTTTCCTCAGGATTGATTTCCAGTGTTACACAATCAAGTTTCCTCCTTAAGGTCTAACAAAAAACTCCCATGCCCTTTCTTAAGTCTATTTAATCATCTAAGAGTAAAGAGACTATTACTGACTATCCTCTGCATCTGATTTATTGATATTTTAATACAATTATTAAATTAGCCCTCAGACTTCCCTTCTTTGGGTTGATGAATATTGCTCATCAGCATTTCCCTCAGAACACATCTCTTACGTCTTGTGACCTATTTTCTGTTTCTCTAGGTAAATGTCTTCCTTCAATAGCTGTGCTTCAGGATTCTGGTAGGGTATGCCTGGATTTGAGTTTCTATGTTTATTTTTTACACTGTATAACTCTTTAGAATGTATTTAGAATTTCCATGGGGTCTATAGTCTCTGCTCTTTAAGATTTTCTCTTTCAGAATTTTCTCAGATTATCCAAAATACAGCTGTATTACCACAGTGCAAAAAACCTATAAATTTAAAACATATAAAAGCCCTGACTCCAGCTTGAAATAAGAACAATACAGTTTCAGTTTTGTGGTATCCTGTCCAGAGGCCAAGACATTATTCAAGTGGTATTTCTCAGGAAAGAAATGTTTAGACTCCTGGGGTGAAGCCAGAAATCTGGAGTGGGTGATACATTTCTTGGCTCCGTAATTCTTCTATCACCAGAGAAATATTTTGGCTGAGCACTAGATACTCGTCCTCATTTTCAGACCACTTCATTTTGTGAAGTTAGATTCTTTGGAGAACTATGTAGTGTATCCCAAGGTGCATTTTAATGGTCTAATTGCCATGTGCTATATATTTGAAATTTCAACTCTTGGAATGTATGAAGGTATTGTCAATATAAAAGTTGTCTTCCTATATATTAAACAATAGCACAAGAACTAATGCCCTTCTGAGGCTTCTGTCTTCTACTGAATCAGACTCTCAGCAAGAGAAAGGAATGGTGCTCTCTAGATTTAACCCTGACATGGCTTACAATTGGGACCAACCCTACACATAGGCAAACTAGGTATAACCTTTGTAGTGAGATTTGAGGGGCCTTAAAAGATCAGTCTGGTTCAGTACCTGACTTGCTCCTTTGGGGTTCTCAAATGTCTCCTTCTCAATAAGACCTATACTGTGTCCACACTGTTTAGAATTGAAACTTGTACCAAACACACACACACACACACACACACAGAGCACATCAACTATTCCTGTATTTTTCAAAGCATGCATTTCCTTCTAATATACAATATCATTTAGTTAATGAATGAATGAATGAATGAATTGGCTACTTTGGCATTTATTGCCTGTCTCCCTCTTCTAGACCATAAGCACTATACAGCAGGTATTTTTACCTATTTTGTTCACTGGTGACACCCAAGTACCTAAAACAGTACTTGAGCACTCAATTAAGCACTCAGTAAATATGTTCTAAATGAATGAATGAGTTGAATAATCCCTGAGAAATAGCCTGTATACAGATTGGCACTATGACATGCTCTATACTGATATATTATTGAAGGCATCAATCATCAGTTAAATCATCGATTGAAAACAGAAATAGCAAGTATAATTTATCCAACTGCAAATTACTATTGGATGTTGCTTTCATTTATTTCAAAACATTTATATAGTGCTTACAAGTTGCTCTTCATCATTTATATAGATACATCTATTCACATACAGAATCACATATGTATTACCTATAAATATTTAGACAAGGGCACACATGGAAGAAGCGAAAGGAGTAAAGGAGAATAGCAGAAGGAAAGTGAAAATAAAATGGAGACAATCATGGACTGATTTGAGAAGTGAGAGGATAGTCAGTAGTTTGTGGGTAGCTGAAGAGAGTATAAAAATTCAGGAAAAAATATAGAGGTGATAGCAGAACATAATCAGGAAATATCTCCCCTGGATCTCTCGTGGAACTTAACTTTAGTCAGGTAGGATAGGTCAGCCTCACTCCACATAAACCTCACTCCTTTTATATTCTGGTTCCTGGGATCCCTACCCATTACAAACCTGAGATTTTAATAGCGAGTTCCTTTCTCTCAAGGTGTTACATCTACCTGATTTCATTAAACTACTGTAGTATGTTTCCTCCCACTCAAAAAAAACCAACCAACCAACCAAACAAACAAAAATATTCAGTTACCTTTGTTAACAAAATAGAAATGAACTATTACACTTGCCTTCTCATGTGACTAGAAGCCTTCACACGCTCAGGAAATGAGTCTCAAACCAAATGGGGAACTTGCCCTAATAGTTTCCCTTTTATGCTTTGCATTTTCCTTTCTTATCTCTGAATGAGTTCTTTTTAAGTAGAATTGACTAAAACAAGAACAAAGGGAATGCTGACATCACGTGGAATATAGGAGGCATTTGGAAATGGTAAGCAATATCTGCATTTCCCTCTTTTTCCTTTTCAAGAAAACCCTGTAACATTTACTGTATGTTCATTAAAACAATTTGAACAGTTGGAGGAAGGTGTCAGCACTGCAAAGGCAAAACACACTAAAAGGTATTTATTTTAATTATTATGACATAATTAATATTTTTCTCCTCTGTCATTTTCTTAGTTTTTCATGGTACTAAGCTTCTAGAGTAGTTGATATTTGAAAAACAGTATGAACACATCAGATTTGTACATGGCTTTACATTTTATATTTATTTTTACATGTGAGTTTCATGAGAAACCACTGAGACAGGCAGAATAGGAAGCATTCATCCCATATTCCAAATGAGGAAAATAAAAGTGCATTTTTCAAGATCACATGACCTGAAATTGTCTATGTTGGTTGTCTTCCTGTATTCTTCTATTTCTATTTAATAGATGTTAATTGAGCACCTACCACTGAAAAACAAAGAGCTGCATACTCTAGATACAAACATAAGACCCAGTCTCTCTCCCCTCAAGGAAATTAGTATTTAGTATAGAAAACAGATATGTAAACAAATATTGCTAAAACAGTAAGATAAGGGGTTATATTATAACCCATAAAACACCATTTTTACATGAAAGAAAAACCGACAGAGAAACTTTGATTATTCAGACTTTGGTTCTTGGCAGATGTTTTCTCTATAATTAACAAAGTGAGCTTATCACTTCAAGGAAAACAACTGACAGCATTTCTTGCCAATTATAAAATTCAAGTTCTTAAGTAAAAATGAGAATTTTAGAAAACTTGTATCTGCCACCATGAGCTTGACAGCTTTCCAAAACATGAATAATTTCCTGATGAGATCAATGATTATAGTAACAAATGTAATATTTTTATATTGTATCCTGAAATATGTCAATATTTGGAAGATCTGCATAACTCAGTGAAGCAATATTTTTCAGATGATCAATGCATGATGTTACAAAGTCATGCATGGGTAAAAAAAATCTATTCAAAGTGAGGATATACTGATGGACTTTTCATGCATGAAAACACAAAAAAATTCACTGACACCGTTTCAGATTCCATATTGGAAGTAACCTCTAAGAAACTACCACTTGTCAAATTTTGGTATATTATCAAAGAATATCCACAATTATCTTAAATGGCTAATAAGATACTCTTGCCTTTTCCAACTCCATATGTGAGTGAGAAATGATTTTCTTCCTGTATTTCAACCAGAAAAACTCATCACAGCAGGGTAAATGCAAAAGCAGATAAGGGAATCCAGCTCTCTTCTATTACACCAGACAGTAAAGAGATTTGCAAAAATGCAAATGCTACTTCTTTCACCAAATGTCTTGTTGTTTTGAAAAATATAGTTTTTTTTAATAAAATAAATAACTGTGCTAACTTGTAATGGATATTTATCATTTCAAATGAATTCATAATTAAATATTTTTAAATTTTCCAGTTTTAATTTCTAATACAATAAATACAAATAGGCATAGCTCACATAAACAAAAGCTCTTTGGGGTCCTCCATGATTTTTAAGAGTATAACCAAAAAGTTTGAGAACTGCTGCCCTAGACAAACTCTTACACATATAGTCAAGAAAATATGTCCATTGCAGCTTTGCCTGAAACAGTGAAAACCTGTAAACAATTTAAGTATCCATGAAGAGGTAAAAGAAGAAATAAATTGTGTACATTCATACTGTGTAATCATATATCATTGTTAAAATGCAGAAAAGTTACAAGTATTACAATGGGTGAATATCAAAAATATAATGGTAGTAAACTCAAAATGGCTTAAAGACTTAAACATAAGACAATATAAACCTTTTAGAAGAAAACATAGGCAAAACATTCTCTGACATAAATCTCAGCAATGTTCTCCTGGGGCAGTCTACCCAGGCAATAGAAATAAAAGAAAAAATAAACAAATGGGACCTCATTAAACTTAGAAGCTTTTGCACAACAAAGGAAACCATAAGCAAAACAAAAAGCCAACCTATGGAATGGGAGAAAACATTTGCAAATGATGTGACCGAAAAAGGCTTAACTTCAAGCATATGTAAACAGCTCATACAACTTAATAACAAAAAGCCAAAAAATCCAATGCAAAAATAGGCAGAAGACCTAAACAAGCAATTCCCCAGTGAAGACATACAAATGCCCAATAGGCACATTAAAAAATGCTCAATATTGCTAATTATCAGAGAAATGCAAATCAAAACTACAATGAGGTATCACCTCACACTGGTCAGAAT